GCAAGTCACATTGGAATGCTCTGACTTTGGGGCACATTCCATTACAAAGGTATTATAAGGATGGGATTTAAAATTTTGAAATGGTGCCAAAAAACTTTTTAATGATTTCTAATCTAAAATCACATAAAATACCAATAAATCAATTAAATTTAAAACATTTTAGGAGAAATGAGTAAAAAGAAGGAAATGAAGCAGGATGTGGTGGTGTCCCAGGATCAGGAAGAGAGCACATGTCTTCAAAGGAGTGAAGGAGAGGCTCTTACCCATATTTCTAGCATGTTCTCTTTCTCCTTTGTTACCACTTCTTCCTAAGCATGTCCTCTCATCTAGATGGATACAGACCATGGATCTTGCCTGACACTTCTTTGAGTGTTCCTGCTTCTGAACAAAGTAACTTACAAATCTACGTACTACATACAGCCAACCTCTACTCAGCTTCCCAAAGAAATAATAAACAAATGAACTGTATTTAATATTTACAGAACTTTCCCACATGCTTTGTTCCTTTAAAACCTCTACATATTCAAGTTCCTTTTTCATTGCATCAGCATGCATCTGCAAAGTAACTACTGTATACCAGGGATGTTTTTTATGCCAGTCATGGATTCTGCATACCATTTATTTGACTTCTAACTCAAAAGGCCTTTTTGTTCTGCCTCCCAAACCAGCTGTCACAGTCTGCCAAAATTGCTACTCTTCCCTCTGGTATTTATGATAAAAGGAGTTATAACTAGGCATCATGAGGCCATCTGTACAATGTTGGATAGTGACACATTGTCTTCATCCAAACTTTTAAGATGCTGAGTCTTGCAGGACAGATATTAATGCCACCAAATTCATCTTCTACATTATTAAACAATATTGCCCATAATAGCTATTATATCTGCACACTTGCATGAAAGAGGGAGTGGTACATTGTTTTGGACAACTGCCCATGACAACAAAATTATAATATTACCAACAGAAAATAGATTACCTTTCCTCTGTTTTAAATTTCTTACTTGATTTGCTTGGACAGACAAGTCATGTGCAGAAGTGGATATAGTGGTCAGGCTGGTAGATCTATTTCACAGGACTGTGATGATCTCTTGGGTTTCAGGCTGGATGCTAACACTTTAATTCAATGGACTGATTTCCAACCATGGTGGTACCTCAGAATCACAGGTAAAACAAGCTTAGGAAGAACTGAATCATCTGACTTATAAAACATTACTTATTTCTTGTTTATTTGCATATCCTAAAGTGACCCACTGTTAATTTTGCAATATTTAGTTGAAAGAACACCACTGATCCAAGACTTTGTCTAGCATATAACTCCAACTCAAATTGTTCTAGCTTGTGAAGCATTTAAAGTCAGAGGATCTAACTTCAAGGCACTACATAGTCTGGGCAGACTATAAATTTAAGTGAGATTGACCTGTGATTTGCTTCATGCATGATGCTTTATATTTTATTTCATCAGCACAAATACATGGTACTTTTCCATTAAACATGAAAGAGTATGCTTTTAATGCATAAAAACAGTTTATTTTTCCTTCTCTATATTTTTCCTACAAGCTTTCTTTAAACCCAAAGCTTCTTAATCCACTTCTAAGTCTTGCATTAGTGATAGAGATATTAACAAACACAACAAAGTAACTGCAGGAAAGGCCACCAATGGGGACTGAAGTCTGGCTTGTGAGCTGGAGGAAAGAGGTCTAGGGCTGTTGAGAATTAGGAAGTAAATATTCCAAGTGAACAGAGCAACTTGTTCCCATTTCAGAAAGAGAGCCCTCTTTCACCAGATGTTCAGATTTTTTCTTTAAGAAATCAGAATTCCATATTTTTTGTGAATTCTTTTGATTTTTAAATGCTGACAACTAATTTGGAGTCTAATATAAAACTCATTACCTATGAAATGAACAAGACTGAGTGGGCTGGATTTGCTAGAGGACCTGAGAGCTTGTGGTCTATTATTTCACACCCCCACATCAAAGAGAAGAGGGTTGGATATGTACAGGGAAGAAGAGGGCACCATGTTCACCTGGGAAGGTGGCCAGAATGTTGCGCCATGGTAGATATGTTTGCAGACTTTGTTATTTGACTAATGCTGGGCTTGCTCCCATGAAACAAAAAAGTTTCCTTTTCCTAGTTATGGTAGGATAGCTATTCTAAAAATTTCTTTAGAAAATGGGGATTTGAGAAAAGAGTGATCTTCACAATATTGCATGTCTAGGACTTTTACCTCAGTAACCAGGAGTCCACAGGAAGAAATTTAGACTTTTCCAAAGTCACTGTGGGCTGTGTGCAGGAAATTTGCCACTCCTTTGACTTGTTCAAATCCTGTGTAGTGATGCTTCTTTAAAAATTTCCAATCAAATATAAAGAAACATTGATGAGTTCAGCATCTATCACATAATTTTATAGTATTTTTATTTGAATGGATTTGAAATTAAATGACTTCATCCCTAACCCTTATCTCTGCATATTTGACCTTGAATTTATCACATCAGTGCATTTGCTTTGAATTGTCAAGAAACCTAGAGTTATATTAAAAAATCATTTTAAATCTATCAGATACTTTTGTACTTTGTTTTGCATTTTGATTTGGAGTTAGAGGGACTCAAAGACAAATAACAAAAAGAATAGCCAAACATACACGAAGACAATCACTAAAACTGAAGGTGAATCTTTGGAGAAAGATGAAATGTACCCTGGGAGACCTGGGGACCCCATATAGGTCCCTGATAGTGCAGAGAGATCATCTGAGCACATGTTTAGGTGTCTTGGGATGGGTGCCTTGGATAGACACAGAGACAGATGCAACTTAATGAATCTTAAACCCAGGGGCCCTTCTCTTGCTAGTTCCAAAGCGCTATTGGCACTCTTCCAGGGAGCCTGGGAGGAACTTGTCATTCCAGCAGCTACACTACTATAGCCTGAGAATCGCTGGTGGTAGTCTTAGGGTTGCTGTGGAACCAGACACTGCCTGCACTACTATTAAACACCTCCAGCCCCCAGTGTCAAACTGAATTTTAGGAAGCTTTGATCTAGAAATATTGTACAAGACACCATTCTTCTATCTGCCAGGAGGCCCTGTCAACCTAAATGACACAGAGAGATTCTACAATGTATAATGAATGCTATTTATTTTGTAATAGCAGAGAAATAGACTATGTGCATATTCAAAGAAGTTGAGGCCAGGGGAAGTTCCTAAAGCAAAAATGGGGAAATTTACATAAGTTACTTGAACGCAAAGTTTATTCGTTTTGGAGACTCAAGGAGAAGGCAGGAGTTGATGTCAGCTCATAGGTGGAGGTGCTATTGTGGGCAGTTGCTCTCTCCAAAGCACCCTGGCTGAATTGTTGCAGTTGCAGTCTTAAAAAGTGTTGAGTATAAATTTGGTTACAGAAATCTGTGCATATATGCATGTGGGAGGCATGCCAAGCACAAGGAGCTTCTAGAAGGAGAAAGAATCTTTCATGGGGAGTGTAGAAAGTCTCTGAAATGGTATTTATCTCAAACAGGCAAGCATGAACTAGCATCTGGTTCTAACTTTGCTGGGTCAGACAAGGATGATTTTCATAGACCCTACAATCCATGGCTACAGGCATTTACTGCAGATTCTCACACAAACAGCCTCATGGTTTCAGGATTGGGTGGGAAGGTAAATGAGTGGCACATGGCTGAGACGTCTATCATGTTAGGCTTGAAGCACTGAATGAGAAGAAATGACAGAGGATGTTACAGATGTGTCATTCCAGATAACAACTGGAATGTTGAAAGCATTTCTGTGTCATCAAAAATAATTTAAATAATTTTTAATATAGAATTTCCATAGGAAAAATTAAGTTATATTTCTACTCTTTCTCCAGAAGACAATGCTGACAAAATCATGGTCATGTACAATGGCTATCAAAGACTATGCGGCTGTGAGATTTAGGGAAAACATTGTAGATGATGAGAAGGATGATGGTATTGTTGTGACTTGTATTTATATGATTCTTGTATAACTGCTGTTATATAACAATATTATTTTTATATAACTAATGTAATAAGCATAATGTTATATTCTTTTCTTAATGAGGACACCCGGAATTATACTCTCCAAGACCTAAAAACTCTGGTCCACCTCTTCTAAAAAGCTGGGTTAGAATCATGTACCACAAGTAGGAAGAAAAAACAAATTAGAAGTAGGCCTGACCATGGAAATGCTCCAAAGGCATTCCAAATTTTAAAATGAAGTTTAGAGATATGGGAGGTGGGCTGGGGGGGATGGTCCCAGTAGAATTCACAATTAAAGTGTATTATAGGAAAGCTTGGATTTAAGTTTATTTTTAAATAATATCGACGTGATTGAATCATGACGGGAGTAGAAGAAAATCCTAACAGCCCTGCTCCTCTTTGCTGCCACTGTCACTTTTCCATCCAATCTCAGTTGTGTCTGGGACAACTTTTCCTCACATGGGTTGATTATGGTCTCCTCTTGTTTTTATCTTGATTTTATTTCTCAAAGCACTAAATGTTTTCTTGTTGAGAAAACACTCATCCACTCATCATCATCTCTCAATTCCTTTGACTTAATTGTATATGCTCCGGTGGACTGAACATAGTAAACACTGATAATTACTTACTTACATGGTAATTACATTAATAATTGCTAATAACTACAGTCTCCACCCTAGGAAGAAAGAATTCTCCCCACCAAAATAGGAGGAGTTGTATAAGTCAGGGGCAGAGAAAATAAGAGGGGCTTTCCTGGCCATGATAGGGTAGGCATTAATTAAACACAAGTCATAGCATTTGTTATACAAATGTCCTTCATTGACTCAGAGCCATAAAACCAAAAGGAGTTCACTCATAAAGTAAGATGAAGGGATTTAGTTAACTGCAGTTATGGAGAAGATTACTGAGTTACATGCATTCAAATGGGGGATTCCAAATATGGGAAAGATGACACTGTAAGGTCCCACACCCATCACCAAGAGTATATAAATATTCCAGTTCAGCAGTGATATTCACATTCAGAATCTTCTCGGTTACACTCAGCTGAACTCACACCCATACTCAACATGCCCTACAACTGCTGCTCTAGAAACTTCTCCTCCCGCTCCTTTGGGGGCTACCTGCCCTACTCAGGCTCCTCCTGTGGCTCCTCCTACAACAGAAACCTGATCTACAGCCAGAACCTCTGCTTTCCCAGCACCTGCCAGCTGGGCTCCTCTCACTACAGGGGCTGTCAGAAGACCTTCCACAGGCCCACCAGATGTCAGACGTCCTGTGTGGTGTCCAGGCCCTGCCAGCCTTCCTGCTACCGCCCAAGGACCTCCACATTCTGCAGTCCCTGCAAGACAACTTATGCTAGATCTGTGAGATCTGTGTCTAGTAGCTGTTGCTCTCAGGGCTATGGCTCAAGATGCTGTGGATCTAGTGGCTTTAGACACCTGAATTACAGAGTTGGTGGCTTCTCTTCTCTGGGCTGTGGATCCGGGCTATACCGTCCATCCTATTTGGCTTCCAGACCCTGCCAGTCTTCTTGCTACAGACCAACATGTACATCAGGATGTGGGTTCTACTGATCATCTTATTATGTTTCTAATTTTTTGACAAATGTCATCAGTGCCTCCTCTTCCAATCTTTATCACCTTCATTATGTACAAGAAGAATTGCCTTCTTATTCTCAGATTGCTGATTTCTCACCTTGTCTGGGACTAGCAAATAGCTGATAGACTCCATCTGAAAAACTCTGTAATTAGCATAGTAACTCAAAATAAAGTCTAAAGCCTGCATTAGAGATGGGATTTATAGTATTGGATTTCTTTCAAAATTTTATGAAAATTCAAACTTTAATAAATGCATTGATTCTAATATTGAGCTATGTTTGCTTTTGTAAGTTGCTTACTAACTTAGGTATTGGTTGCACAGTATTAAGGGGATCATTAGTATGTAATCAATAGGCATATAAAAAATAATTAAAAATTGATTAATGTGGAGATTTGAATAAATTTGGGAGGCCTCAGATTTTTTTAATGTAAACTACAGGAAGTATTAATACATCATTTGAATATATAGTGCTTTATTAATTAATGTCATAATAAAGAATTAGACTGATCCCTTCCTAAAATGTAAATCCTGAGGTCTTTGTTAAACAAAGACAAACTATTTGACAGTTCCATAAGGAATGCAGAGACTTAAAAAAAAAGGAATATTTAGATCCATATGATTATGAAGGAAAAATAAACTGGGGAAAATGGAAGATGATAATATTTGAATTTTATATAGTTTTCCATATAACCATCTGATATTTACTTGTAAATGTTGCAAAATACATTCATCTTACTGAAGAATATCCAAATTATAATTCAGTTACCTAAATATACATAATAAGAAAAGCCATGAAACTTCAGTGAAGGGTCAAGATCATAGAGTTTAGATTTCACCTTGGATTTTTTTATAAATTTACTTTTAATAGATGTATAATAACTTTACATATTTATGAGTGTCATAGTCAGTTTCCATTATTGTGATTAAGCAATTAAGCAATTAAGCAAGAAAATCAATTTAGAGGATGAAGCATTTATTTTGGTTCATGGTTTAGGAGGTTTAAGTCCATGGTCATTGCACCCTAAGGCTATAGGCCTGTGGTAAGGTAGGGTATCACGGCAGAAGTGGGTGATGGAGCAAAAATGCTCACCTCGTGGTAACCAGGAATCAGAGAGAGAAGAAGAAAGAGTGGTACCAGTGAAATAACACACCTTCAAATGTGAGGCCACACTGTGCCTCTTCTTTCTGCTAGGCCACACCTATTAAGTTTCCACCACCTTCCAATAGTGTTACCAGCTGGGGACCAAATATTTAACACACGAATTTTGAGAGGACATTCTGGATCTGAACTATAACATTCTGCTCCTGGTCCACAAAAGTTCATGTCCAATAGTCTCAAAAGTTCCAAGTCCTCCTAGACTCAAGGCAACTATTAGCTGTGAGCCTCTGTTAAAGAAAACAAAAAGGAAAAGCTACATATGGTGGGAAAGGCACAGGGTAAGCATTCCCATTCCAAAAGGGAGGAATGAAGGCAAGGAAAGGAGGGATGGGACCAAACCAAGATTGAAACTCAGTTACTCAAACATTAAATCCTTAATTATATGCTGAGGAAATAACTCCCTAGGCGACCTTGTGGGATCAGGGTACTGCTTTCATACCCTGGAACCTGAGGTGGGTGGGGTTGGCCAATTCCTGAGATGCTCTTGAGTTATCCCTCCTATTGTCTCCATCCACAGTAGTTGGCTGCTTTTGAATGGAGTGAATCTGTTCAGCAACCATATTCTTCTAGGCTCTTATTTTACACTTGCTTTTTTTCTGACAAACTGCCAATTTTTCACATCTCTGTGCTCTGCTCTTTGCTCTTGATTATCACAGTAAAACTGGCCAAAAGCAATTAGAATTACCCATGCCACTGCCTAGATGCTTTCCTGCCTTCAGTTTTCTCTATCAGATTAATTAGTCCATCACCTTTAAACTCAGCATCACACGAAGTCTCAGGAGATAGACATGAGGACAAATTTTTAACCAGAATATAACAATAATGGTTCTCCAGTCCAGTTCTCAAGAGTGTACTCATTTCCATCTGAAACCCCATGAGCACAGTCTTTGCTGTTTGCATTCTTATCAGGATTCTGATCCTTTTAATTCATACAATAATTGCCCATTATGCCCTTATTATAGCATTCTAGGGCTCTTCTAGTCCACATATTCAAAATTCCCCAGTTCCTTCATAAACCATTCCAAAGGATTCTGAACCATATTGTGGAGTATAGTCACAGGCAGGAGCCCACATCAAAATACCAATTTTTTGTTAGTTAGCTTTCTACTTCTACAACAGTGCATGAAAAAATGAACTTACAGGAAGAAAGATTTATTCTAGATTATGGTATCAATCATGGTTGCTTGGTCCCATTATATGTGCCTGTGTTGAAGCAGTACATCATGACAGAAAGATATGGTGAGACAAAGTTGCTCACCTCTTAGATGCTAGAAAGCATTGGGAGTGGGGGAGAAAAGGCAAATATGCATTCTCAAATACCTTCCCCAGTGACCCACATCCTCCCACAAGGCACTTTCTAATGATTCTATCACTTCCCAATAGTCTCACCATCTACAAAGCCTTTAACATATAAGCCTTTTTGGGACATTCCAAATCCAAGTGTAACAATGTGGCACAATGTGATGTTTTGATCTATGCATACTTTGTATAAATATTCATTGACGCTAATTAACAAATCTATCATCTCATCAAATAAGACAACTTTCAAAGAGAAGGATACTCAAAATCACTAGTCATCAGAGAAATGGAAACCAAAAGCACCATGAGATATCTTCTTAACCTGGTAAGAAGTACAATTAACAAAAAGTCTAATAGTAACATGCGCTGGCGAGGATGTGGAGAAAAGAGAAATATCGCACACTATACTTGAGAATGTAAATTATCACAGAGATTAAGAAAACAGCATGAAAGTTCTTCAAAACTACACCTACCCTGTGATAAAGCAATTCCTACTACAGTGTGTATCCAAAGAAAATTAAATCAATGTGTTGGTGAGACATCCACATCCCCATGTTCATTACAGCACCATTCTCAATAGCCAAGAAAGTGAAACAACCTAAGTGTCCATCAACTGATGAATGGATATAGAAAATGTGACATATATGCACAATGGAAAACTACTTAGCCATTAAAAGAATGAAATCTTGTCATTGAGACAATATGATGGATTGTAGATCATTATGCTAACTAAAATCAGCCAGACACAGAAAGGCAAGCACTACGTGATCTCACTCATGTGTACATATAATATAGGTATTCATATAGAAGTTGAGAATAGTTCCAGTTGAATCTGGAATGTTTTCCCAAAGGATTATTGTTTAGTGCTTGGTCCTTCATGGCAGCAATGTTCAAAGGTAAAGTTTTTGGAAAGTGATGGATCATGAAGGTGTTAACAAGACCATAATTAAATGTACTGTTGGAAGGTTGTGGACACTGCAGGAGGTGCGACCTGGTTGAAGGGAGTAGGTATTGGAGTTTGCAGTTGGAGAGTATAATTTGTCCCTGTGTCCTTTCTCTCTCTTCTTCCTAGCCACTGCAAGATGATCAGCTTTCCTTTTCCATGCCCTTTCACCATACTGCTTCATCACAGGACCAGACATTATGAAGTTGGTTGACAATGGACTGAAAACTCTGGAACCATGAGCAAAATAAAATATTTCATTTTTAAAGTTTTTTTTTTTCAGGTGTTTTTGCTATTACAAAGAAAAGCTAAATTTGACAAGAGTAGAATGGTGGTTTCCAGAGACTGGCAAGGGTGGTTAGGATGGGGAAGGTTGATTGTTATAGTTTGGATAGAATATTTCCTAAAAGACTCATGTATCAAAATCATGTGCCCTCTGCAACAAGCTTCAGAGGTGGGGCTTTTAGGCATCAGTGGGTTAATCACTGGACTACTAAGAGGTAGGATCTAGTTGGAGAAAGTAGGTCACTGGGAATGCGTCCTGAAAGGGTCTGCCTCCACTTTCTCTCTGTCTGTTTTCCTGGTTGCCATGAGCTGAGAAGCTTTCCTGTGCCATGCCCTTCAAACACACTGTGGAATTGTTCGAACAGGGGCTGAGACATCTGAAACTGTGAACCACAACAATTCTTCCCTCATCTAAGCTGTCCTAGTCAGATTGATGAAAAGATGATTAACACATCGATTGATGGGTATTGATTTAGAGTTAAATGGAAGTAAAAGTACTTGTGTCTTATTACACAGTAGGGTGATGGTAGATAATGGCAATGAATTATACATTTCAACAAGCTAGAAGAAAATATTTTGAATGTTTACCATAAAGTAATGATAAATGTTTGAGAGATATTTAAATGAAGGAAACACTGTCATCTGCAAAATTATGGATGAAACTGGAGGACATAAAGCTTAATAAAAATATCCAGGTATTGAAAGAAATACTGCATGAAATCTCCATACTTCTTTCCATATTGGCTGCACTAATCTGTAGTCTCACCGGCAACTTATGAGTATACCTTTTCTCCTACATCCTCGTCAACACTTATTGTTGTTTGTGTTCGTAACAGATGCCATTCTGACTGGAGTAGATGAAATCTTAGAGTAGTTTTGATTTGCATTTTTCTAATTGCTAGAGATGATGAACATTTTTTCATAAAATTTGACTGATTTTATATCCTCTTCTGAAAAGTGTCTGTTCAGGTCCTTTGTCAATTTATTGATTGAGTTATTTGGATTTTTGTTATTTAGCATTTTGAGTTCTTTATATAACCCTGGAGATTTGTGCTTTATCTGATGTGTGAGGGGTAAATATTTGCTCCCAAGATGTAGGTTCTCTAATCACTTCACAGATTGTTTCTTTTGCTGAGAAGAAACTTTTTAGTTTGAATCCATCCTATTTATTGATTCTAGATTTTAATTCTTGTGCTATAGGAGTCTTATTAAGGAAATTGGGGCCTAATCTGACATGATGAAGATTAGAATCTACTTTTTCTTCTATTAGACATAGTATGGAGATTCTT